GTTGCGTTGAACTGCCAGTAGTCTCCTGCGCATCCTGTGTCTGCAGCGCCTTGTGGTGTAAGTGTTGCGGTCGGTGCTATCGGCAATGCTGTGGCTTCTGCTTGTAGGAAGAAAGAGCCACTGTTGGACCCCCTAGTCTTGGACTGTCGCCCAGTGTTAGGTGGAAGCCTTGTCCCGCCAGCCTTGCAACTGAAAGAACCGGCTGTTTAACCTCACAAACGTAGAAAGGTATGACAATCTGTTGTCCATTGTGACATGTTCAAGTTGCTGTAGTGGGAGATGCGTCGCAAACCACGGTGGGCAAGCGTGTGTAGCCGCACCACTGTCAATCATGAGAGGCTTCGCGTATTCCTGAGACGGGTACTGCTGATGGGCCTGCTGGTTGCGGTAGCGCTAACTGTTGTACCTGTGTTTGGCCCTGGTGACACCAATTGCTGTGGTTGTACCTATCTTGTGTCTTGTCGCTAGTGTCGAAGTTGCCAGTGTCGCAGTTGTAGATCGCGACTCTGCGTTGTTTTAGCCATGCGTCCTGGCTGTCCGCATCTGTAGCAAGCTTGTGTTGAATGCAATCCTTTTGCTCCTTTTTCCTCCTTGTTGGTTGGTGTAGTATCCTTTGCCTTTTCCCTTGTTGCCGTGTCCTTTTCCTTTGCCGTATCCTTGTTGTCCTTTGAACGGGTTTCCTTGTCCAGCCGGTTGATTGCGCTGCCTGCCGCTTCTGCCTTTAAAGTTGTTGTAGTGGTAGTTGTCCCGTATCCACCGTAGCCTTTGCCTTCGTTGCACTTTCCGTCGCCCTTGCGCTTGCCTTTCTTTCCTTTGCCTTTGTTGCGCCATGTTGCTCCTATGTCCATCGGTGCTGGTCCTTGGTTGTTGCTGCTGCCTGATGCGAGCCTGGTGAATGATGATGCTGCTCTGTGATACTCTTTCACCAGAAGTCTGGTTTGTGATTTCGTGGTGGTGTTTCCTGCTGGGAGCTGTAGGTGTTGCTGTAGCAGCCCTTTTGTCTCGTTGGGCAGCATTGCATTTTTTTACTGCGTCTGGTAGTAGTGTGTTGTTGTCTTGTTCGCACTTGGCGAGTTGAAACTTCCATGTTGTAAAACTCTACTCCAACTTCTGTTCACCGAACTGTGGTTTGAGTAACCTTCCCAGGCGCCTAAAGCCGTTGCCTCGCGTGTTCTGTCTGCGAATTGTAGCGCTCGTCCATCGCATGCGCTCACCAAGGTGTAATGTAAGTTGTTTCCCAATTGTACACTGCTTGTGAAGGTGCTGCTGTCTAACTGAGTCAGCTGCGACGTTTCCTTTGGCCATTGCTGTTGCTGGTATGGAGCGTGTTCTGACATTGCAAGAACGCTTGCCTTGCAGGGAAGGTGCGGATGTGAGCAGGCTGCCTCGCGCGCAGCATGCGTCGACTCCACGAGACCGCCGGAAGCGCAAGAGTGTTGGCGAACTTAGACCGTTCTGGCGTTGGTGGGTGGGATATCCAAGATTGATACGCCCGAAATGCGATTGAAGATGCTGCTGGGCAATGCTTGCTTAACTTTTCTTGAACTCGTTGAGAAAGTGAGCCAAACCCAATTTTTGAATGCCGTCGCTTGCATCTAGAAGAACTGTGGAGACGCAGTTTTCAGCTGAGAACCTCGGCATTGCCTGACTTTGCTTGGAAAATAGGTTGGCAACCTGCAAGTTGTCCAAGAACAGGAGATCGCAATTTGTTTGTAGCCCTCTCAGAATTCAATCGCGTGTTTGTTTAGCAGTCTTGCGCGCACGTACGCCCGCAGCTTTGCGCCGCTCATTGAACTTGGCTCGCCCATTCGGAGCTAGCTTCGTCACCGAGGCTGGTTAGTCAAGCATGGCAACGGAGAAGTCGCCCCGCCCAGGCATCGAAAGGAGGCGTGCGTTGAGGCACTGGTGGCCGAGTTCGATCGAATCTAGGGCAAGTAAAAGAACAACCTATGTGCCATTGGCACATGCCCTAATCACACACTCATGGCAGTCTGCAGCGCAATGAGCACGTTGCGCAAGGACAACCGGGCGGGCTCCAAAATCCTCAGCAAGTGTCACGCCACACGCAGCCAAATCACACAAGGCATCCTCCACAATGAAGCAGTGACCGACATACGCTACAAGGATGGGCTGAGGGTGTTCGACGAATATGCGACGATGCAGCCAATGCAAAAGTTGGGCAACTTTGGCCTCGCCCACACGCACTCCCTGCAGCGCCAGTTGTTTGACGCAGGCGTGAAACTGCATGACTGGCGCGATTCTGTCAGGGACCGCGATGTCGAATTCCCGCATATGGCCAGCTTCTGGGCGGCTGCTGCGGGCATACCTCTTCAAACAGCCCCACTTTCCCCGTGAGCGGGCGTGCAGATACTGCAGAAACGCAGTCTTTCCCTGTGGCCTGGCAGCAGTTTTGACATTGGCTTCGAAGAAAAGAAGTACGCTCGGAGCTTTGGCTGCAGGTTTGCAAGCCGGGCAGTGAAACACTTGGCTTACGGGAAGGAATGCTCGTGCGTGTGTGTCGGCGCGCTTGCCACGTGGGAAGCTGAAAGGCGGCAAGCACGTGTGTGTGTGTGTGTGGGTGCGTGCGTGCGTGCGTGCGTGCGTGCGCGCATGCGGGCGGGCGGGCGGGCGGGCGCGCGCGCGTGCGTGCGTGCGTGCACGCGTGCGTGCGTGCGTGCGTGCGTGGCTGGGTGAGCGCATTCATGCACGTACGTGCGTGTTGTATAATACTATATTATTATTTATATGGGAAGACGTGTATATATATATATATATATTTGTAAGGGTGTGGCTCAAAAATGGGGCCCAAAATGAATTCCTGGCAGCCAGGAACTTGTGCTGCGACGCATCAGAACTGACAGGGGCACGGGTTCCAAAGGCTCGGAACAGCATGTGGGTCCCCGAATCTTGATGCATCAGCGAGATTGCAGAGCTCTGCTGATGCGCCAGAATTCTTAGGGTCATGGGTCCCTCCCGCAAGCTCTGATGCATCAGAACGGACAAGGGCCTGGGTTCCTCACACAAAGGCTCACAACATCAACCCTCAGGGGCGTGGCTTCGCGACGCAGAAGCTCAAAACACTGATGAAGCAGCGCTGACAGGGACGCAACACGGTTTGAGGATGCTTTGCGGTTACGCGCTAGCGCTGCACATAGGCAAACTTCTCAGCGGTTACCTGGACCTTCTTCCCCATTCTGCTCAAAGTTATTCACAGCGGCCAGCGCTCATTGGCAGATGTGACCCAAGCTCAACTGCTCTATTGTCCCAAGAGCCAAGAGCTGCCCACTTTACCAACGAGTTGGCGAGTGTTTTGGTCTTTGCAGAATTCGCTGCACGGACCCAAGTGGCTGTTCAGGCAACAGGCGCAGCGCTTTAAACAAGGCAAGAAGTGAAAGCGTGGCAAGGTTCATTGTGTTGGCGGACGCTTCCCTGGCCACTTTGATGCTAGGCTTGGCTTGAGTGAGGCAACTGTGTAGAACCATTGCTTGTTTCTAAGGATTACGCGGCTGAAAACAAACCCGAAACCTCGGAAAGCTGCTCAGGAATCATCAGCGATGAGGTGTGTTGCCAAATGGCAATGATGGCGGGCACGACTCAGCTCTTGAGGTGCTTCGGCAGAGGCCGAGTGGAGATGAGCGACGCGAAGCACAATGTTTTCGCCTTCGCCCAGAAACTGCACATGCTGTTTGCGCAGAAGATGGCAATATCCTCCCGTGGTAACACGCAGCGCGCGCGCCTCGTTTGATTCGAATGGGTGCTCAGGGCGGCGTTTCGCCTGTCATTCTTGACAGGTGCTTCAACTGACAGCTGCGATTGCTCTGGCTGCTTCAGCAGTCTGTTGTGTGAAGGGTCTTGTAGCCCAGGGTATGCTGTCATCTTGTGCTGCCATTCTTCGATTGTGTCGCACTCTCCTGTGATTCGTGGTGGTGCTATCTTGTACTTGTGTATTCCCTCCAGCTGACGCTGTCGCTCTTCTCGTTGTTTGGCCCCCATTCCTTGTGTGTTGTGTGGAAAGGCCGCCAGATCTTTCCCAGATGTGTAGCTGCGCTAGCATGTTAAACTTGGAGCAAATGTATACCTGCTTACCTGATTTGCACACTCGAACCAAGCACTCCACTTGTACTGGCGCGACACTGTAGGCTCAAGGCCTTGATCTGTCCCCATATGGCGGGTGCCACATGCGCTGCAAGCTGTACAATGCTGTCAAGGCACGTTGTACTTTAGCAGCACGGCATGTGTATAAACATGTATTCATTTTTGGCAAGTATGGGTTCGCACAGTAGTGAGGGCGGTGGGCTGTTAAGTGATGGCTGCCTGCCCCCTCCGTTTCAAAACCAAACGCTATGGCCTGCGTTGGCAGCATGGGCTGTCGCTCCGCGAGAAACGCCATGCTGTAGCCATGGCAAACATACGGGCAGAAGCTACCCGTATGAGGTACAAGCCGGCCAGGCGACAAGGAAAGAAGCTACTGAGCCCCTGACATGGGAACATGGTGAAGACCATGAACGGAATTTGGGCAGTGTCAGCCGCCCGCTTGACACCAGCAAATGCGCAAATGTGAATATCGGCAGTTGCACATGGGAATCAAATTACGTCGGACATGATTTCGCGCGAGCAAACCACGCCACTCGGGTGAAAGAGTCAAATACTTGTCATAGCTGCCTTGCCAAGCAGGCAAAAGAAAGATCAACGTGACATCCGGGAGTTGGGCCATGCTGAAAACGACCTCATCCAGTAGAAATTGTGATGACCATCAATATTAACAAGTATCTAATTGGGAGCATAGGACCGGCTCTGCAAAATACTGCCTTGCACGTAGACATCACAACATTTCGTCCGCTTGGCATGTGATCCCAGGGACATAGCTAAATGCGCCGAGGCCAACGAACAAACATCTCGGCACTTGCAACTTGAGTCCGAGCCACGGCCTCGTCTCTGAACAGCCCGAAGGCAACAAATTGGACGGACCCATTCTTGGTTGAACGGCCGAACAACTGCGCCTTTGCCAGATCGCCTTGGCAAATAGTGCAATACAGCACCTGCGCGCGGTGGCTCAAAATCCAGAAAACTTGCCCGACCAGCAGGTTTCGTGGCAAATTACTCTTCACAGACTACGCAGACCGGAACACGCCTGATGGCCGAAAACCCGCGGGCATTGCAACAATGATCCCAGCCAGCGCTGCGCATGGATTGCGTCTGTTTGGGTTATGCTTTGCACTGGTTTCGTCACTGATGAAGAGCTATGCAGGTCAGCTTTAACCAGCGCCCCGCGCAGCATGAAACCTTTTACATTCGCATCATGCGCTGCTTTGGTTGCCAGCCTCATCGATCTCCGTTGCATCAGTGAACCTGGCAGGAACACAAGCCCGAAGCGAGCAGGTCTTTCCATCACGCAGAAAACAACTTGATGAGAAATGGCTTGAACAGGCTTGGGCCTCTCCTGTGTGCAACATCCTTGGCTCTATGCAAGAAGCAAATGCGCAGACAGCTCTTCCCAGCCCCATCGTAAAACATGCTGCCAGCAAAATACTGCTTTCTGTTCATCGCAAGGCAGAGCGAGGGGTGCCAGTGGACACAAAACGCAACCGACCTTTTGGATGAGAAACTTAACGCCGGCCCTGCCACAAAGGGGGGGGCTGACCCATTTAGGGTGAGGGGAGTGAAGCGCCAGCTCCAAGAAATGGCCAGGGGCACCCAAGCATGCCGCGGCAGCTGTGACACTCGCTTTGCTGCACTGCCTGGCACTTGAACAGTTGCATCCCACCTCCGTCTAGTTTTCCTTCTGCGTTTGCCGGAAAATCTTTCCAGCCCTCGTCTCAGTTTTGCCGGCGCGCGACGCCGGCGGCTTAGGCGTGACACGCTATGTCCGCCGACATGTTTCGGACTGTCGGACGGTAAAAGGCGATAGCGGCTTCCCCGCTTCCCCTCCCTCCAAGGGTTCTGTTTTGAGAAACAACGTATCAATGTCATTGGGGCTCGAGACCCTTCTTGCGCAGACTAACAGGAAAATAGTCTCGCTGCTTGCTCCCCAGCGCCATCGCAGATTCACGCACACATGCGCCAGGAACTTCCAAGGTCCTTCTGCCATCAGACATCAGGGTCTCACGCTGAGATTGATCCAGGGCCAGAGAGACGACTGAGTTGTTGTAGCAGAGCAGGTTTTTCGGAAAAGAGCCACACTAGATATCATCAGAGGCTCTGTGGAAGCCTACACAAGCACCGGCGAGCGCGAAGATCCTAACATGCCCCCATCATACGACGGAAGAGTCAGCTGGTTCAGATTTCAAGAACTCAGGAGCAGACTCACTCACAGGCGACGCAATCATGCTTCGCGAACTGCTCGACAACAGAGACCCAACTAAAGGGACCAACTGCCCCAAGAACACGCAAAAGAAGCGCTTTATGAAGGGGGCTACGAACGAGTGTCCTTGCCGACCCCAGCTTTTTCAACCACAGGAGGCGCAACACTGAGTTTTGCAGAAACAAACCCAAGTTTGAAGTTTTGTTGAGAACGCTGAAGTCAGCATGACACTTGTCATCACAGCGCAGTCACATCACAGCGCAGTCACCTGACTACATCCAATCGGCACAGGACGCATATGTCAGACTCCTGAATGATGCAACGCGACCCACGCCGATACAGTTTCTGTTCACAACTCTCTGCCGACCGATTGCAGCCTGCCAGCAACACAGCTCACAGCGCCGGTCATAAACCCGCAACGCAACCCGACCTGTGCAACCCTTGACAACGGATGTGGCCGGTCTATGAAAAGCTGGCACTCATTACACACCGTCGAACCAACGAGTGCGTTCCGGCAGACACTGGCAGACACCAACTTCTTTTTGCCAGTGGTCAAAGAGGACACAGCAACTCCCGAGATCATTGGATCAGGGAAGCGGGGACCATTGGCAAGCAACTTACATGCGCCCGCGCCATCCAAACAAGACCAAAAGGTGGACATCCAGACCTTCTTGAACACAACTGGAGACTTTCCTTGCAGGTAAAACCAATGGTTAACCTGTGGAAACGCAAGACCATCTTCACATTTGCAGACAAATTCGCAGAAGGACGAAGAACAAGGTTCATCAGGTCAGCAGCAGGTAGGATAATCCACACCAAGGTTCAGCCGACCGTTGAGCCAGAACCTATCGCAGAATCAGACGGAGAGCCAATAACACTTCCTTTTGCCCGTAAGCGAATGTCTTGAACAAAAGAGTTGAAGAAGCTTCGCCTCCAGCATCATAGGAGTACGACTTCGAACTCGGTCACTTCCTGGAAAACCATTTAACCACTTTTCGCGGGGTCATTCTGCTCAGGACCATGAAAATCGCTTTCACGGCCGTTGACTTTGTTCACGGCCTCTGCTTGCGCTTCACGTTTGTTCACGGGTCAGGCCCGTTGTTCACGGCCGTTTCACGCTTTCCAATGCCATTCATGGCGCTGCGGCGGTTTCACGGCCATAGCTTTTTTCACGGCCGTTTGCCCAAACGAGCAGCATAGCCAAATGCTTCTCCAGGTTCACTCGCCGAAGTCACTCTACGACCTCCTCGAGAAGATTGGCGCAGAGTGTGAAGTGCGCCAAGCTGAGGCCTTCTGCAAGCCACCCTTGCCAGACTCGGCCAAAGTCTTCATTTTGCTGCGCGTTCTCCGCAGAAGGATGGGCGGGCGCCAGGGGACACGGCGGGCTCCGGCTTCTTGCAGGGTGATGCACGCGCAGGTGACCCAGGCGCAGCTTGACTTTGAGCCGCAAGCATGTCACACCCACAAAAGAGTTCAGAGTCTGAACTTGTAAAGTTAGCCTGAACTTTCTCAAGCCAAAGCTAAAACAATACAAAGCTGGACGTTCAGAAAGTTCAGCTGGGGCATGTTTTGCGGGTCCCATGTTCGATTTGTGTTCTCGTTCTCCGCCACCCGCTCTAGGCCAGCGAGAATCCAACTTGAAAAGAGGTAGAGTCCACACGTTACGTCATTGCAGCAGTTTGGCTACAACTAGATAGGAAAAGTGTGTGCAAACATGCAACTCATTTGTTCACAATTGATGATGTTTAACTCAGGTCGTTTTCTCCACGACTGCGACGGCGCGTCAAGTCGCGCCACAGCTGGTTTCAGCGGGTTGACCACCTCATAAGATGAGTCTGCGCCAATCTCATGAAGCCATCTGTGGGTCACCTAGCTTTGAGCAGCCGCAACGTTCACCCTACCGCCTTCCCCGTTGAACTAGATTGCTAACGCAGGTCCGGCAAATGTCCACCTTACTCAGGCGACCCTGAGCCACCTGGGCGGGAACCTAGAACTTCCAAGACGGCCCTCACTTCATCCCCCGCGCCTGAATCCATGACAGCCAAGTCACCCAGCATGCGTGCTGGGTAACTGGTGGATGTTTTCTTTCTCGCGCAGCCTTCTGATAGTCCTTTTTAGCTGAGGCATGAACGACCCGCTGTCTTATAACAAAGCTTCTTGCAGGCTTAGAAACGCTGCGGTGATATCATCTTGGCCTTGCGCAGGCCACCAGGCCAGGGCAGGTCAAAGTCTTTGGGCGCCAAAGAAAGATCGCCATTTGCTCAGACTTGATGCGGACAGCGCAAGGAGCAGAGTGAGGCCCAGCTGAAAGGCCCGCTGTGAGGGTTCGGCACTCACAACAACTGTTTGGCCCACCTGCCCTCTATTTTTAACCTTTTTGGATTTTCTTGCTTTCTGACATGCCACGCGTTCACACAGCTGCTGCCCAAATGCTGATGGCGCCCAAGACATACCAAGCCTCCAATAACTTGAAGCGCTGCTCACCGAAGACTTTATTTTTTCCATTCAGGCAAGCTCGTGGAAGCCCCTGCGAAGTAGCGCTGTTCGGCTAGATTGGGCGTTGTTGCGACAGGTTACCAGAGGCCTGAGAACCAGCCTTTGCAGGCTACAGGCCCTCTCTTTGCTGAAGCCACTAACATGATGCTGAGCCTTATTACTGCAGTCTAGCAAAAACGCGCAATTTATGGAAGATGGAAAAATGAAAACCTGACCCTCAGCCATCCAAATCTTGCTTTTAGCATCTCCAAAATGAATCTTCTAGCAGATCCATTTTTCAACTTCCAAAATTGAGCTGGCAGCCCCAAAATGGAGCTGATTGAAAATCTCAAAATGGAGTTTCAGAGAAGCTCCATTTTGGAGCTGCCAAATTTGAGCTTCCAAAACGGAGCCTCTCGGGGTCTTAGGGGTTTCGTGGCAGGGCCAGCACTTTGGATACCCAACTGCTGGATTTCGTGGCAGGGGCAGCCTACTGGACGCAGGGGCAGCATTTTGGACATGTGAGTGCAGATTTCGTGTCACTCACTCTCACTCATCTCACTCCCATTGTGCATGGGAGTCGGTAGGGGTGTTGTTTTGAATGCTTCTGCTTGCGCATCCAGCTGATCTAGACATGAGATGGCTGGGAGTCGATTGACACAAACACGCGACAAGAAAAGGCTCGAAGCAGCATCTTCATTCATTCCTTGCTTTCTTGCATTCTTCCTTTCCACGCTGCTAGCGTCCTTTCATCCATGAGCCTTGATCAAATGTGCTGCAACAACTTTGCATGTGGGCGGGGTATCCGGTCCCTTAATTGTGTTTTATTATAATTTACAAACTTGTTATTTATGTGTTTCTTGTTGTGTTTCTTTGTGTGTGTCTATCATTATTCATTGATGTAATTACAGCCTTTCGTCCTTCCTTCATTTCTTGTGTATCTCTGTATGGCTTTATTGTTTTCCTTCTTTCTTTCCTTCATTATTTATTCTTCCTGTCTTTCAATATTGCGCGTCGTATGTGTCTTTCTGTATTTACTTGTGTAGTTGTTTCTTGACTTATTTCTTGACTTATTTATGTATTTCTGGATTAGTGTGGGTTTGGTTGTCCTTTCTACTTTTGTGCCTTTCTTTCTTCCTTTCTTTTCTTGCGCTCTTTCTTTCTTTCTTTCATCCATTATTTTGTTTCTTCTTTCTTTTTTGATTTCCATCTTTTGTTTCTTCTTTCTTTTACTATTTCTTGTTTGTCTTTCTTTCACTATTTATCTATGTTGTTCTTTCTTTATGTTTTCCTCTCTGTTGTTTTATTTATTTATGTATTTTCATGATTTCTGTCTGTGTATTTCTGTATGTCTTCCTTTCTTTCTTTCTTTCTTTCTTTGTTGATCTCTTAGTTTGTTTATTACTTGTATCAACCCATTTTTGTATCTACTTCTTCCTTTCATTCATTCTTAATTTATTCCGATAACTTTATTTTCTTGTCCTGTCCTGTCCTGTCCTTTCCTTTCTTGCTCCGTCTGTCTTGCTTGGCTTTGCTCTGCTTTGCTTTGTGCTGCGCCTTGCCTTGCCTTGCCTTGCAGAATGGAAACATCTTGCAAAGGTCAACATTCAAGGTCGTCAATAGATGCTCCGAGCAGGGCTCACAAAGAGGGAACACTTTACCCGCCCTCCCAATGAGTCTGACAAGCAGTCGCGGGTCCTTCATACGCCTCTCTCGGGATCCAACTTTAGTAAGCCGTCCCTTTTCTCCAGTACCTGTGTGATGGCAATCTGGTCGTACATGGTCAGTCGAAGCAACTCGTGGAAGAAGGCTGTCACCAAACCAAAAATAATGTATTGTACTCATTAGCGGCCAACAGCGATTGGTGGCAAGTGCTCTGGCGCCAAAAAATCTGCCACAGTCTTACACATCACCCTTCCACATGCGCCCTGCTCTGGCCATCTCCGCACATGCATGCCCCAGGAGGTTCAAAAAAGGAAACTAACCAAGAGGTTCAAAAGGAAACGCACCGTGCTCCGATGTTCAATTTTCTCATGTTCTCGTAGCAACCCAGCCTGGCGCCAGCCCGGAGGCGGCAAAGAGGGAAAAGGCGGGGTCTCACGACGGTCGGCGAAGCTTCCCATTTTGCAACGAAGCTGTTTCCAGGTTTAGGTCAGAAGCGTCAGCTACAATTTCCTCTCAGACTTGGCGGACTACCACCCAAGTGAAATGGACAACTGCACTCTGCAACTGAGAGTCAACAGTTTCAAAGCTAACTGCCTTGTGCCTGACCATGCCAGAATATAGGTCTGTCATCGAAGTTGAACGTCGCGGGCCCCATCTGAAGTGATGGCACTTCTCTCATCTGATGCCGGTTTCAGCATCCAAGACTCTCGACTATCATCACATCAGGCAAGGCCAACTGACATTGGGCCAAGTTCATTCCACGTTGCTTTAATTGATCCAAGATGCAGATTGCCAACCACACGACTTGGGGATTGTTTGGCATTTAGCATAGGCGCCTCGTTGATGCCTTGACACTCCCTAGCAAGATTATTGACGCATGTAAAGGCCGTGGGGTTCAAAATGTGCCTAATCAGGTTGCAAATTCAAGGTGTCTGTCCGACCTGAATGGAGCTCAATGCATTCTCAAGCGGATGTCCGAACAAAATAGCTCGATATCGTTTGACAAGTTTTGGAGATAGCTTGTTGGAGTACGTCAATCAGTACAAGTTCTGTGAGCCTCATTTGTGCAATGGTCAAGCCTCCTGTGTACATGTTGATATTAATGGCCGTTGTGCTGGCCCCCCCTTTTCATGAAAGTAGAACCTACGCAGTAGAACCTACGCATCCCGCCTGGTCCTTAATGTACTCCAATGTGGTGATGCCTCTCAGCGAGCACAGGAACAAAGGGCAACGGAAGCACTGGCCGGAAAAATGTGTGGGGGCCCATTTTGATGAGCCACCTACAGCCACCTGTGAAAAATGTAGTCACCAACCTGAACCTCAGGGGTCCCCGAGAAAGTTTAACATATCGAAAGTGTGTTCCCGCTAGGGAAACCGGTGTAAATCCGTACTACAAAGGCATTCATAACCCTGTGAAAGAATGCTACAGAGTGTATGTGTGTGCGCCTTGCCCTCTAACAGCATTGTCTGTCCTGCAGCTGTATGCTGCAAGGCCCACGGCCTCTCAACTTGTACTTGAAAACACCAAAACAAACGTGAGCTCTTTGGTGAACAGGCTGTTGTTGAACAGGCCAGCAAGCAACGATTTGGACAAGCGTTCAGAGGTTGCATCACACGTGAGCCAAGCAAGTGGGTGTTGAGGGAAAAACTTGGGGCTCTGGCCACGACAACTTCGTTGCTGAGACTCAATGCGCCGAACACTTCGAAGGCCAGACTTCAAGTCAATCTAATGGTCTGGTTTTCGGAAGGATACTTTTTGGCGCAGGAAGGAAACTCCTTTGAAATCCCTCGACTCGAGTTTCGGTTTTGTTTGAGGCCATGGCCTGCCAGGCAGAAGTAGGAGTGCTGGGCCTGTCCGTGCGCTCGCTGTGATGTTGCCAGCTTAATTTGTACGTTTTTCAAGGTGGCAAGGCTTTGTTTGTTTCGGTGCGGGCCTCTGGGAGATGCCGTAAACAGGCTTTGGGTTATCCAGATCAGACTTTCACCCTTCATTTTGAAGAGCAGCTTCCGGCAAAAAGCCTTGCCGGCCAGTCCAAAGGATGCATAAAACCGCGAGGCACTTTCAGTTTGATGTCACCCGAGTAGCAAGCTAAAAGCCACTTGTCAGGCGTAGCTCATAAAGCAATCCAATCCCTCTCGTGCTACGGGTAATCAAGTCATCTCCAAAGCTCCTTTGAATCTCACAAAGGTGTCATAACATGTTTGTATCCCGAGAAATGCTTGGCTTCCTTTTGGCTTTGTCCATGGAGGGGATCCTCAAACGTCGGATCAGTGGACGCATGCTGACTGCTCGCACCCAACCAAACCTGATAGGGATCCTTCTCGCAAGGAGCGTGGTCGTTGGAGTCAGGTAGACCAATAGCTGCCGTCCCACAGATCAACGCCATGAACGCCATGAATGAAATCCATTCCAAACAAAATCGCTCTGGTCAAATGAATCCCATTCCAAGGAGTTCCTGCCCTGTTTTGCCCCAGGTTCTCAGACGCAGACAGGCTGGTTGAAAAAAAACGGCTCAAGCTTCCCCCTAAGATCCGGGGACCTACCACCCTACAAACACACAAGGAACCTGAATGAAGGATCCTTTGTCAGATTTCAAGCCCGGGCCCCATGCCTTTAAAGACCTGGGCGACCAGAGCCCTTTTGCAGCCCGGAACGAACCCATGATTCATCCCCGCGCCAGCAAGGCGAACAGGAACAGCCCGGTGAGGTGCGAGGCCTGGGCGCAGTGTGCGAGGCATATCAAAAAAAGGTTCCGATGAAGGCGATGGCGGAGAACCGCGTCGCGAACTGCGGGGGTGAGTGGCTCGCTTGCATTGGACAAATCGCTAAGAATGAAATAGGCATGGATCACAGCGTCGAAACGATGCTGCCATTGACTCCAGATGGGAAGTTTGGCTGTCCGGCTCTGTGCACTGAAATTCCTGAACAGGCTGGGGACCAATGCAGGGATGCCTCAAGCAGGAAGACACAAGACTTGTTCAAAAAATGGCTTCATCAGGTTCGGGCGCGCAAAAGCTTGGGATTCTCAAGCATGGATGATCAACTGGGAAAGGAATGCAACGCCGCAAAAAATGCACAAAGATGACAGCTAAACCACATCAGTGCAGAGAATGGGAATGGGGCTCTTACTTCCGCAACCTTGAACACATCACACGTGACTCAATAGCCCCTCTGCCAGTTGCCTGCGGACAGCTCCATGACACTGCAGATCCAAAAACGTCGCAGCAGCTACCAGCTCAAACCCTACACGTGCACAATTCCTGAACGGGCGATCCAAAGATAAAGCTCAAACGGAGTCGGAAGATAAAGCTTATAAACAAATATGAAGATGGACTGTTCCTGAAAACGTGAAGCACCTCCTTGTGGCCAAACCCATCGCTTGGTTAGCCAGGCCAGGCCAGGGGCTCCGGGACGGCCAATGCTCGGGCACCGGCAAATGCCGCAGCTCCCACGAACAGGAAGAACCTTAGGGAGACAAGTGGAAACAAGTCTCGAACATCTTCAAACGACTTCCACCGATACGCGGCCATAAACATGGGTGATTTCTTCTTGGTTTCCTTCTAAAAGCCATCTGCATGTTTCCGAAGCACTAAGGTGTCGCGTTGGCAAGTCAGAAAACACCTTTGTGGCGGTCCCCGGGTTGAGTTGTTCCTGCGGGAGAAGGAATGGCTTGGATTTAGCACGCCTGAAGCCAGCCCTGCTGCCGTCATGCAGGTGATGAACGTTTGCCAGCCCCTCCTCCTGCCCCAACCCCAAACCCAAGCCCCAGCTTAAGCCCAGTCTCTGGCTCCTGAGCCCAGTCCAGCTCATTCCAGCCACCTCTTTTGCCAGTCCCGCTGAGTTCAAGCCCCTGGGCACAGCCCGCATTGCTCTTGTTCTTTTCAGCCCCGAGGCGGGCAGCGCGGAGCGTTTACAAGCAAGCAAATCGTTCTGGCTATACTTTCTGGCCGTTCCGGGCGGATACTTTGTTCCAGACGAAAAGTTCCCCGATGCCAAAAGCTTGGCTGTTCATCCTGGAAGCTTGGCTGTTCCGTACGACGCTTGGGCGTGTGGTTTGATGCACATTTAGCACACGATAGCGCCGACATGTAGTGTGCACGAGGGGGTTTGCCCTTTCATAACATGAAAGGCAACAAATACACAAACAGACAAGCAGACAAACAAACAGGCAAACAAACAGGCAAACAAACAAACTGAACAGACAAGCCGACAGGCAAACAGACGGGCAAACAAACAGGCAAACAAACAGGCAAATGAACAGGCAAATAAACAGGCAAATAAACAGGCAAATAAACAGGCAAAACACAGCGCAATCCAAGCCAAACCCATCAATTGGCGCATCCTAAAAAACAAACAAGCAGGCGTACACACAAGCAAATCAAAAGCAAACCAACCAAACCAACCCCCCAAAAAAGCGACTACAACAAACAAAAACACACAACACAGCCAAACACACAGACAAACAAACACACAAACAAATAGACAAACAAAACAGCCAAAAAAATAAACACACAAACAAGCAAGCAAGCAAGCAATCCATCCATGAATCAACCAATCACGCCAAAGCAAAGCAAATCAAATCAAACAAACCAACAATCAAGCCACATATCAGTCACTAAATGAATCAATATCAACAAACCACGCGAGCAAGCAAGCAAGGAGGCAAGAAAGCAATCACGCAATCACTCAATCACTCAATCACTCACTCACTCACTCACTCAATCAATCAATTAAGCAATCAAACAATCAATCAATCCATCAATCCACCCATCAATCAAGCAAGGCAAGGCAAGGCAAAGCAAGGCAAGGCAAACCAACAAGCAATCCAATTCAATCCAATCCAATGAAATCAAATCAAATCAAATTAAACCAAACAGTATCAAAACGAATCAACGCAAAACACGTCGAATGGAATCAAATCAAATCAAGCAAACCACCAAAATCAGATCAACCAATCAATCCAATGCGACCCGAACCAAATCATACAATGAGTCAGTCCATGAAACGGCAAGCAACCGAAGAACTGCCATGCCCCATGGCCCATCAGCCCCTCAGCCCCCCGGCAGCACGGGCTGCTCCTGGTTCAGGCTGTGCCTGAAGGTTCGGAGCTCGCAAATGACTTTGGAAGCTTCGAGTCGAATCTTTCCAAATGTTTGAAAGGCAAATGCCGGTAATTCCCCGTTGGCGGTTAGAGTGAAATCACGAATGACGGGGAAACTGTCGCACTTGAAGGGCCGCTGATATCGATGTTCTAAAAACGGTGCAACGTGTTCTTTGCATTCCAGGACGGCATTGACCTTGGATGTAGCTCCGGAACAGAAAATACAAATGGTTCACTCAAGTAGACGCTTGGCTTTAGTTTTCTGAAGATCAACGCGTGAAAGGGTGGAAACCCTAGACCCAAGCCACTTGATCCAAATGATCATCACATGCTCAGCTTGCTAGCGGCTTGTCTCAGGGCTGTCCAGATCTCTATGGTGTGAATGGATTCATCAGAATGCCTCTACTTGTTTGACATTCATATTTGTCAAAGGAAGTTTAACAAGAAACTTCCGTAGTACTGGAACTAAATGAACTAGCTGCTTTGACATATAGCTATGACAGGTAGCTAGCATGACAAATAGATAGCTTTGACATATAGCTAGCTTGACAGATAGATAGCTTTCCAATAGGCTTGCATGACAGATAGATAGCTTTGACATATAGCCAGCTTAACACGTAGATAGCTTTCTCAAGTATAGATTTCGTGGCAGGCGCAGCACTTTCGCAAGCACTCTCTGCGAGCTGGGGGATGGCAAGATGCAGAAAACGTTGGCGCTGTGCGTGAATTGGGCTTCCGGACTGTGCGCAAACCACCTCGGCTGCGACGCCTGTACGGCGGCGGTCTCGGAACGGTCTCGGAACGGTCTCGGAACGGTCTCGGAACGGTCTCGGAACGGGTTCGGAGACGGGCCCATTGGCACGGCCGCGCGAAGGTTTCGCAAGGTTTGAATTGCGTGGCAGGCGCAGCACTTTCGCAAGGTCAAGTATAGATTTCGTGGCAGGCGCAGCACTTTCGCAAGGTCAAGTATCGATTTCGTGGCAGGCGCAGCACTTTCGCAAGCACTCTCTGCGAGCTGGGGCTTTGACATATAGCTATGACAGGTAGCTAGCATGACAAATAGATAGCTTTGACATATAGCTAGCTTGACAGATAGATAGCTTTCCAATAGGCTTGCATGACAGATAGATAGCTTTGACATATAGCCAGCTTAACACGTAGATAGCTTTCTCAAGTATAGATTTCGTGGCAGGCGCAGCACTTTCGCAAGCACTCTCTGCGAGCTGGGGGATGGCAAGATGCAGAAAACGTTGGCGCTGTGCGTGAATTGGGCTTCCGGACTGTGCGCAAACCACCTCGGCTGCGACGCCTGTACGGCGGCGGTCTCGGAACGGTCTCGGAACGGTCTCGGAACGGTCTCGGAACGGTCTCGGAACGGGTTCGGAGACGGGCCCATTGGCACGGCCGCGCGAAGGTTTCGCAAGGTTTGAATTGCGTGGCAGGCGCAGCACTTTCGCAAGGTCAAGTATAGATTTCGTGGCAGGCGCAGCACTTTCGCAAGGTCAAGATCGATTTCGTGGCAGGCGCAGCACTTTCGCAAGCACTCTCTGCGAGCTGGGGGATGGCAAGATGCAGAAAACGTTGGCGCTGTGCGTGAATTGGGCTTCCGGACTGTGCGCAAACCACCTCGGCTGCGACGCCTGTACGGAGGCGGTCTCGGAACGGTCTCGGAACGGTCTCGGAACGGTCTCGGAACGGGTTCGGAGACGGGCCCATTGGCACGGCCGCGCGAAGGTTTCGCAAGGTTTGAATTGCGTGGCAGGCGCAGCACTTTCGCAAGGTCAAGTATAGATTTCGTGGCAGGCGCAGCACTTTCGCAAGGTCAAGTATCGATTTCGTGGCAGGCGCAGCACTTTCGCAAGGTGCTGCGTCCACTCTCTGCGAGCTGGGGGATGGCAAGATGCAGAAAACGTTGGCGCTGTGCGTGAATTGGGCTTCCGGACTGTGCGCAAACCACCTCGGCTGCGACGCCTGCACGGCGGCGGTCTCGGAACGGTCTCGGAACGGTCTCGGAACGGTCTCGGAACGGGTTCGGAGACGGGCCCATTGGCACGGCCGCGCGAAGGTTTCGCAAGGTTTGAATTGCGTGGCAGGCGCAGCACTTTCGCAAGGTCAAGTATAGATTTCGTGGCAGGCGCAGCACTTTCGCAAGGTCAAGTATCGATTTCGTGGCAGGCGCAGCACTTTCGCAAGCACTCTCTGCGAGCTGGGGGATGGCAAGATGCAGAAAACGTTGGCGCTGTGCGTCGGGCCGCGCGCTCGCGCGGACTGCTGCACCGCTGAAGCAGACGAAGAGAAAAGCCTAGCTTTTGCGCTTGACACGCGTGCCGTTTCGGGCCGCGTGCTCCAGCCCAGACTACAGCACGGCTTGGGCAGACGCAAAGAAAAGGCGCTCTCGGGGGGGAGGGAGGAGAGTTGAACTTGAAGCGCTCGTTGGGAGCTTTGGAAAGGGAAAGAGAAGAAGAGAGAGAGAGAGAGAGAGAGAGAGAGAGAGAGAGAGAGAGAGAAGAGAGAGAGAGAGAGAGAGAAAGAGACAGAGAAACAGAAAGAGAAAGAGAAGAGAGAAAGAGAGAAAGAGAGAAAGAGAAGAGAGAGAGAGAGAGAGAAGCAAGGGGCCAAGGACAGTTCTCCAAACTATAGTTGTTCACTGCTTTGAAACTTCCGCCCCCCGGCTCTGCCGGACCTTACTTGTATCATTTCCCAATGTGTACTGATTTCAAGTGGATCTCATGAAGTCGGAGCGTCACTTGTACATGAGGACTGCCTTGAACCTCGAACAAAGGAGCGGGCTTCAGGTTAAGAAGAAAGGCTACTGGAGCAAACAACAGAAGCAGGACGAGCAGCGAACGAGGACTCTTGAGCACATTGCCTCAACACCCGCACCAAAGAAATTCTGCTGGAGAGTTGCTTAGGCCTTTTGCGAGGGTCCAGCTGGGAAGCTTAGCCTTGAGCAGGTGCCAGCAAATGGGAAAACTAGGAAGCTAACTTTATCAGAACACTGCATGCCACTCCCTTCCTGCGGTGTCTCAGTCCCTGCGAGGCTTGTCCTTGTGTTACTTGTGTTTGCTAGGTCCGGGCTCAGAAGGGCTAATTGGCTAAGCGGCTAAGCACCTAGCTCCGAGAGACACAGAGCGAACGATCGCAAGAGTGGATTCGAGAGAAGTGCCTACGGGCCCACACCCCCACCCGCCTTTCGGGCTCATTCATGGCGTGCACTGTGGCAAATGCACAGATTGACATTAGCGCCAGCAGCAGAACCTGTCGCAGGAAATAGCCTGGCTATTCGACTGGAAAAGCGTGCTACTTTGCTGGGCAAATTCAAACCGTCGGCTAGGCATCTCATGATGGGGCTGTCTCTTGATTCACCGGAGCCACCCAGGGGCTCACCACGAAGCTGTACCAGGCTGGATAAGTCCTGTCGGGCGCATGCGTCAAGGCTCCGGTCTTTCGTGACTTCGAGCCGTGGTTGCGGGGTGTTCCATGAAATTTCATGCAGTCACCCAGTCCTGGTCCACATTCACAAGCTGTTAGTACGAATTCCGTAGCACATGCTTATGGGGAAGCATGGAGGTTTGGCGAGGGTAGTGGGCCTATATTTGGAGATCCCCTGTCATCTGCACGAACGCCGAAATGAACCGCAAACCACTTTGTATCTTCAGCTTTTCCGAGCCAGAATGTCTGAATGGCCAAACACGCCTCCCGCCGTATGTCTCACCCCGCTTGCAAAGAGGCTCAGAGCGTCCCCTCACTTCAAACAGGAATTGTTTTTCAAGTCTTCGTGCGTCCCCGTGCTGTGATCTCACGACAGCTGTGGTGGAGCTATGGCTCCAGCGCAACCTTTGGCCTCTGGAACTAAACAAGACCGTGCCAAAGGGCGATGACCGAAAAAAATATCCAACCAATCAATCTCATGAGCTGGAATTCAGGATTGCACCCTCACCAACATGCCATCAAACCGATCAACCTTTCCATTGAGCATCTTAACCAAGGCTTGCGCGAAAACTGCAGGCCTTAAGTGTTCTGGGAGCCAAGACTCTCTTGGAGAAACTTGAAGTGGGCACAGAAAATACGTTCTTGGAGAAACCTTCTCCCTTAGATGCTCTGGAAGCGCTGTGTGGGGTCCAATTGGGCTCCTGCCGCCCACGCAGACATTGAGGTAGCGACAATGGTGGTCGAAGCCCTGCGGTCAAATGTGGGCTTCGCGGTGAAGGCCAACGACAAAAAGACAAGCCCTGTGTGACTCAACGGCCTAGTAGCCAACACGGCCTGTGTATGTGTGCTGTGTTGGCCAGGAGAGAAAACTGTTGTTGGCAGGGCGTCGCATTGAGAACGTTGTTACAGTGACCCGGACGACGCAAAGTGTTCCGCACTTGTATTGAAGCTTTGGTAACTGAGCTCTTGTAACCATGAGGTTGCACGAAGTGGACATGTCTCTTGAATTGACATGTCCAGATTGAAGAGTCGTGATGGCGTGCCTATTTTGGCTCAAGCCACTTGTGCGCGGCGATGGCTGCGCCGCATTGCAAAACAGCAGCTGTTCCGTGGGTGTGCCAGAGAGTCGGGACACGGGTGAGACGTGGTTAGGAAAAGCACCTCTCACAATTTGAAACCGGTACCTTAGGTAGCCCGGTATGGCGATCAGCCGGTTGGTAGAGCAACTAAGCTGCGACCTGCCAACTCTCAAGCATATCGATGGCTGAAAGTCATTTCGCTGCTGATGCTGGCAGCAGCTGTTTTCAATTGAGCGGGAGCATCTCATCCTTAATTGTGGGAACAGCCCCATACTTCAAACAGTGGGGGCTCCCTACCCGATTTTACTGGGCGGTGGCCAATTCCTTCCAATCGCTCATCTGACCCTGGACCTGGGCTCAGTACTGCTTCGGCTCGGCTCAACCTGGAAAGTTGCAGTCGCAGCTTCTCATTCTCAGTCTCCAACGCCTTGTCTAGCAAATAGACCAGCTTGCCGCTCCCCTCGACGGCTAGCTTGATCCAGCTCACGAGTTTCTCATTCTGCTTCTCGCTGAGGATGACCTGATTCTGCATGGCGCCCAGCAAGGCCAGATAGATACTGAAGAAGGCCGAATCCGAGTTGTCATACTCCTCCGCGTTGCGCGCAGTGTGAATCTTATCCACGGTCTGGACGACCTTAAGCGCCAAAACGCCATCCACAGCGCCTCGCCCGGAAAGACTGAACACAGCCGGGTTAAGCCTTGAAAGGTGATCAGCCCGCAACAATCCCCGGGGGTGCAATTCCTTGCGAATGTCGTTGAGCACCTGTTGCAAATTCGCCCCTCCGAAGTCGCTACCCGACTCAAATAGTCGTCCCTGACCAGACCCGAACTCTGCCCGCGAGCGTCATTTCGTTCCACGTTTTTCGGTTGTTTATTCTTACTCCCGGTATCTAGTTCTTTAGCCTTACTCACTAGGCCTTGAAGACAACCGACTTCCACGTCGGCGCGCGCCGCCGGTCAGCGGCTGATCGGCCCATCTCTGCCTGGCCACGAGAATGCGCTGACATACGCTTTGCATGTACACTTCATAACATTCCAATCCAGGATCACCTTCTCTGTGACAAAGACAGTACCCGTCCTAGTCATGAGTTTGTTGGCCCTCTGGCTTTCCCCAAGCATGTTGCCGTGAAGTCAGCGCATGGCCCTGTTCCTACACTTTCGGGATACTGACCAACCACACCACATGACGATTACAACAAACATGCCTATCAGGGTAGCCCGCAAGAACAGCCTCATAATCTCCACAAGAGCAACTCCCTGCGAACCCATCTTATCGACCCAGACATCCTCACGACGTTGTCAATCTGGACCACCCCTTCGTAACCAAGAAAGATGAAGGCAAGCATGGTTCTCCAATAAACAAGGTTCAATTGGTTTCAATGCTCAGTGTGAGCCCTCTTATTCCGGCCCTTCCGGCTCAAGAACCCTGGTCGTCTCCGCACCTTTTTGTTTTTTATTGCGGTCGCCTTGGCCGGGACGCTTTCACCCGCCCCTCTTTTTGGGCTTGCGGCTGAACTGGCGAAGAGCATCCTCACCCTCAGTCATGACATCATCCGAGCTGTCCTGCTCGCGTGCGCCCTCTCGGCCGCGGCTGCGTTTGAAGCGCGACAAACGCGCCTTGACGTTCCTAGCGCCACACTGGCGGCCGTCCCAACCGTGGCCAACAGCCAGATCCTCCAAGGCCTTGGCCCGCGTGGACTCTGACGCCGCCTATCGGTGCGAGCCGGATTGACTTTCTGACCCCCGGCCACCCGCTCTGGCCGACTCCGGACGCGGCCGAACGTCGTCATCGTCCATACTGCAGTGAGGTGCGAAAACGCTTGCCCGCTTTGTGTTGCGCGACCAAGGAAACTTTGGCTTCGACTCTCCAGGGCCGAAGACTCTTTCTGGTCTCCTCCATGGCGGGATGGGCTTCGGTCGAGCTATGACTGGTTGGGGCGGTGTCAACCGACTCCTAGACCGGCTCCTCGATCTGCCCCTCAATCTCAACAGCTGGTCCCCACCTCGATCGTCGGGACAAGGAGGACCTTCGTCATCATCCTCAGCAACCTCGATGTCGACGGTCTCCTTGTCGAGGGACACATATCCCGGGCCACGCTCACCTGACGGTGGCCCTTTGGCCTTTGCGGCCACAGCCGGCGGAGCCTCCGACACTCCCACCTTGCGGGCGGAGCAATCGGCACTACCGCAATCGCTCCCGCCTTTCTGGGCGGAACCTTTGACGCTCCCGCCTTCGCAGATTTCGCAGGCGGAGCCTTTGGCGCTCCCGCCCGCACGCGGACTTGAAGCGCCCGAAACTCCTCAACGGTCGGGTTGATGGCCGGCACGCCGTAGACTCAGCTGTTCCCCTTTGATTTGAGAGCAGCGCCAACCTCCTGCATGGGCTTCTCTTTCGCCCGGGCGATTGACCTGGCAAGCGGTCCCATCCTCTGAATCGCTTCCTGCCTATTCGCGCGCACGATCAACCCGCGATCGGGGCTTCCAAAAAAAGTTCTCCTTGGCGCCCACCAGTCTGCTCCACGCTCTGAGCAGGATCTGTAAGGTGGCCCCTTTCTGCTCCGCGGTACAGAGTAATGCCGCTCTGAAGAACTGCTTCCAGAGACGCAGCCAGCACGATCTCCGCACTCCTCATGCAGCGGATAGAGAAATGCGCCCACCACTGCTCCGAATATTCCCGACACGTCGCCCGAATGTCCCGTGCGCGCGCGCATCAGGTCCGGCAAGTTGTTGGGCCCGTACATCTCTGTGAAATGCGCGCGATCTGCACGAGCGTATAGTTCTTGAACCGAAACTCCTGTGGCACTGCTATGGCCCCTGCAGCGCTTGGACGCAAGTGACCTTGCGAATGTCTGCCACCGCAAACCTCACCTTACCAGGTAACCCTGCTGGGCCTGCCGCCTCCACGGTGGGTCTCAGTCCCATCCTCCTTCTCGCCGGACCATGCCGCAAGGGACAGCTGCCTGGCTTCCTGCACGGCTGCCCCAATCACGGCCTACTTTGCTTACTCCAAAGCCTGCACGGCCAACCTTGCGTACTCAAAGCATGTTGGTTCGAGCCACATGGAGCGCGCGAGCGGCATGAATCCATGGGATCAGGCTCACCCGAGTGGATGATTGTGATCTGCAACCACTGGATCTTGCTTGCCTTTCTCCCCAATCCCTGGCTTGGACTTGTCCCCAAGACCCCTTTTCGAGAAACGTAAAGCCTCCCCGGATTTTTGGGCCACTTGAACTCCTGCCTTCGTGGCAGCTAAGCGGATCTCCTCATCGTACTCAACATCAGTGAGAATCCTTTGATCGAGGCATTTCTCATCGGGTCCATTGGTGGGTCCAAAGGTCAAACACAAAGGCAAGAACTTCCCACGTCTGGATACGATAGCGAGCACTTGCATGGCTCTCCTAGCTTTCGCAACTTGATTGAACCCTGTCACCGGAAAACGACCTCTAGTCAACAACCAGTCCCCTTTCCCGCTGTTTCTTACGCTCGGAGGCTTCCTTGCTCAGACATGGCGCGGAGCGCCCAAAGGAAGAGCCTCGAACCAACTGCCCTCTAGCAACTTCACTCTCGAGCTGTTCATCAACCCAAGCCGCAGCTTCACCCCTCAACGCGTGAGGTTGGGGTCGTTCTCGGAGTCGGAGTTGCTGACCCAAATCTGCCCTTTCCCAACAAGGTTCCAAACGATCCGTCGCTCACGTCCAACGAAGTCATGTTGCACTGGCAAGAGTCGGTCCGAACCATGGCCCAAGGCCTGCTAGGTTCAACAAGGGTCCCGAATTTATTGACGAAAAGCTACGCCGCTAGAGCCAAGTCGTTGGAGGGCGTCTGCTCGCCCAGTTGGCTACGCTTTTCACACACGGTGCCCCCGCATGCAAAAATCTGCTTATCAACCAAGCAAGGAGCGCCCGATCCGCATCCTATTCCCGACCATAGCTTCTATTGCAGCCGACGAACGGGCTCTCCAACCAACAGACCCCGGCGCTTTGCGGCCTTCGTGAGCCCACCATGTCCGGCGAAAACCTCTAAGAAATCAACTCCGTTCTGGGGTACACGAAGGTGTTCAAGGACGGCTTTCTGTTCTCTCACAAAGCCATTGGGAGCCCAGCCGGAGCCCGCGCTTCAAACCACTAACTATCCTCCTTTGTCAAGCTTCCTGGCAGATGAAGCTTGCAGGATTCCATCCCTGCTCAGCTCAACCTTCGTGATGAGCTGGCTCATCTTCACTTCCTCTACACAAGGACGTCCACCTTTCTGGAGCCAGATTCTTGCCGGTCCAAGTGCAGCAGGCACCACTTCACACGCAGTCCGCCGATCTCGGGCGCGTGCTTGTGAACATGACTGCAAATTTGCAACTGATGTGACTTGCCCAATCGCACACAGCTTCGGACCGTATCCTTTTAGGAACGTAATAACGCCCCCAATCTTCAGGACGTACTGCTTACCCTTCTCTTCATCGTGAACTCGACCTGCAAAGTTTCTCCTTTGATCATCTAGGTCTTGGGTCCGAATCGAACTGGATTTCATCTCTGGCATCGGCGGTCCGGGAGCAAAACAGAATCCTCGGCATGGGTGGCAAGAGGCTGGGCGCCGTCGGTCCGGCCAATTGGCCAACTGCAGCCTGTTCCCGTTCCCTTTACACGAAGCGACTTTTCAAGGGCCGGTCAGACCCTTCTTCCACGGCCACGCCCTTTCGCCCCCAGTCCGACAGGCCCGGAGCACGCCATACCACAGGATCTCCGACCCCACCTCTGAGATGATTCTTCACAACCTTGCGCGCAGCCTTGCCTTGTAAATTCCCAACTCATCCAGGGACCAAGCTCCTGTCCAGGTCTCGGGCCCGGGATTGGTGGTGTGCGCCCTCGCCGCATCCTTGACAACGATCCCAAGCATCTTCTGCACTTCTTGATGGTCTTTGGATTGAGCCTCAACCCAAGCCAGTCACTTCAAAGTTTGACACCCCCGCCGAAGCCCTTGCTTCTTGAGCAAGTCGACCGCTATCCTCAAAGCTGTAGACATGCCCAAAAGGGTGCACGTAATCAACAACCACCCACCTTTTTGAAGAGTAGACGAGCCGGCGGGCCTTCTGCTCGGTCTCACGACGAAAACCGCTGTCGGCCTACATCTGCTCTCACATCCTTTGCCAACCAAGTCCCGCCTGCGCCCGACCGACGTCTGCCCGACCCCGATCAGTCCGATGAGACAGTTGAGTGTTCACCACACTCCTGTGACAATGCCAACTCAGCCCCTGGAGAGAGCCCATTCAGGCTCAAAGCTCTCCAGAGAACAAACGGTCAGAACAGCTCCGTCCGGCTCAACGGCCCAGACAGTCTGGCACAAACACTTTGCAACCTGGTCCCTGCAAAATTTCGGGCGAACGCCCCTTGTCGCAGCGTCCTTTCATCAGCGCCCCACCCTTGCCTGGCATCTGGACGGTGCGCCCCCAGATCCTTCTTTTTTTGTGCTTCGACTACAGCATCTTGCGAATCTCGTCAGACGCACGACGGGCGCCGGCTGAAGACATAGGTGCGCTCACTGGCCAGACCAGCCAAATTCTGACTATGGTCCTTCACAGTGCCTTTCGGCACTGAAGCGTAGCCCTTGATCGGCTCCACGGCGAACTCAAGACCCAATTCCGGGCAGGCCGCCTTCAAGAGGCCCGCTTCGGGTTTGTTCTCCACCACCGCGGAGCTACTGCCCAAATGGCTTTCACCCGAGCCCACGCCAAGCAAATCTCCTGCGCTTCTTTGCACAATCCCCGCGACGATTCCTCCGTGCCCGAAACCGACAACGAAGTCCGGCCCTTATTCCGCAATGGCCCGGGCCAGCTTGGCGGCAGAAGTCAACAAGTCGACTCTAGCCCTTTTGACCTTCCGGTCCACTTGCAATCTGCCGGTGGCCCCATCAAACTGCGCCCAGACTCCATCGTCATCCTCGAAGTCTCCATAGCACGGGCGAACTGTCAACGTCCACTCGGGCATCTTAAACTCTTCACAAACCAGTTGAAGCGCCTTCCCGGCGTTATTCTCGTAGTCCACTGCTCTTCAACTTCGCCGCGACGAGCCCATGAATGTAGGAAACGTCCTCCCGCCCATCTGGGCGTGGTCGCCCACAGCCCATGGCACTGGCCCCTCCGATCTCGTCCGACAAGTACTGGTCCAAGTCAAAGCCCCGTAGTTGCCCAGCGATTTCTTGGACGTCCAAGGTCCGTTGCTCAAAAAGCTCGTCACGCCTGCTGCATCCGTCGCCCAATTTAGCTGTCTGAGGAGTTTCACGCCCCCTCCGATGTCCGACTTTTGAGCTCTGGTCAGATTTGCATGGTCCGCCCAGCAGATGGCCCGGATCGTTTTCAGGACTTTCCTCGAAGCGCGCTTCACCTCGAGCTGCGCAAACGCTTCTTGGGTGCGAGGAGGCCACGCCTGTTGGGGAGGTGTCAGACACTTGCTGTGAGTGAGAAGGACTTTCATCTTAGTCCGACCCCGACTCATCTGGAGTAGCCTCCAACCGCGAGCCCGGACACGTCGGCGATCTGTTCCAACAGACACTCTCCGGCTGCGGCGGTCGCATCGAGAGCTCAATTTGCTCCGTCATCATCCGCTTGATGGCCTTCCCAGCTTTGCACCCATCCGTATTTGCTGATCCTAAACCGCCTTCCGGAAAGATCCCACCCAGCTTCTGATAGGCATTCAGGATCTTTGCAGCGTGACCGTACTCTCCGCAGATCTCTTGATTGAGATCTTGGTTATTGCCCGAAAAAACACGAATTGGTTTGAGTCCGCCCGCTAGGTGAGGCACGAATGATAAATGCGAGAACGCCCAGGCACTTCCAACGCGCCACGCAAATGTATTTTTGGGACGGTCCTGGCTGTACAAAGCGTCTGCATCGAGCAAGGATTGCAGAATGCGCCACTCCACCCCCTTCGGCCAAGGGCTTAATGAAGCTTATGGCGATGTTCTGAAGTGAACTCTGGCAGATCCAAGACTGAGTCTGCAATGGTCTATGATCCTTGGAATGTGGCTTCCAAACAGGATTCCACGCAGCACTGATCAAACAATCACAAATGAACAAGGTGATTCAGGGCCTACAGATTCACACAAGCAGCTTTGCTGATATACAGATACACACGGCCATACCAGCGTGTGACACGAATGCGAGGTCTTGCCAAACTGTGGTGGTACGTGGCAAACATGTTTGAGTGGTGATGAGCAAGCTCTTATCGTTCTGTCATTGTTAACAAGCTCGCCCAGCAACCCTTGCATGTCGATGCAGCTCGGATAGAATAAGAAAGTGCATGGCACATGTCAGAAAAGAGTCTGTACAAGATACCTGGCATTGAAAGTGCAGTAAGTCGTGCCGCTCGCAGCCTCTTGAGCCCGTAGGCTAGGTTTGAAGCGTAGAAAGTCGAAAGCCCCTGCAACTTGTGTTTGAGCCGAACAAACTAATGCCTGACACGCACACACCAACACACAACTGCGTAGGGAGGGTCTAGTGCTTTGGATGCTAATGTGAATCATTGCGCCACCCACATTGATTCGAGAAGCTTCCCATCAATGCAAATCTTCGCCTAACAGAAAGTGCTGTCCGTGCATCTGGCACATTGACATGACCCTGTGTGTCATGCCTGTGGCCCAAATAAGTGAGGGTCGTGGCGGCGGAAAGCTCAAATCCTCAAAATTGGGGAATTGGGAATGTCCGCGCCTTAGTAGTCATTCTGATCTCACAATTGTCACACCTTTTTAACGGGTTCAAGACCATCCCGCCCAAGCAAGGCTTTGGACAAGTGACAATCATTGTCGTGGAGTATCATCGACCCATTGCTTGTTGGTCTCCCTACTTGCGGCATCCAAGAGATCTGAGAATCATGCCCACGCTGAAGCACTGGCCCTCGAGTTCGGCGCCGTCTGCATTCCAACACCAAACGTGTTGAGTATCTGCTTGCGGCGCACACTGCCCGAGCTCAAGCAGGCTTGGACATCAGTCTGGAACTTGCCAAGAGATTCCCAGCGCTCCCAGCGGTCTCTCGCCCGAGGAAGTTGCCAAAGCCGCTTGGGCCACGTGACGCCTTGTGGGGAACGCTGGATACCTCAAGGTTCAACGCGGCTCCCAGAAACCAAATAGCTACAACAGCCCCTCTAAAGCCCGAAATCACCTTGCACCAACTGGTACGGCTCGGGAATACGCACCAGCTGCACCAAACAGCATCCCTAGCACGTTGGTCTCCATATCGGGAAAGAAGTCAGAAGCCCTATTTTAACAAAAACTTTCAGCCAGTAATGAAAAAACTGATACGAGTGCAAACACATGCCGAATGTTGGAACCCAAGGAGGGCAATTGTGGTGAACCGGCACCCCGGCTGAAACGTACACGGTCCACGGGCTAAAGCCACCGCCATGAACAGTGGTCAAGGAATTCAGCCATTCGTCTGCAACCAAGGGTCCTAAAACTTTCCAATGTTAAACTGGGAGCGCGAGCAAGCCATAGTCAAAGCGGTGGATTGGGTCCGTCAGTAGACGTCCAGCCCTAGAATGTTGGCACATGTGGATGGCGCTTGCCTGAGGGTGGACGAATGCCCCGTAAAGGCAGCACCGAACGATGCGCGCGCTAACATGAGCAAAGAATAAGTCTCCAAGTCCAATCAAAAGTCGTAACCTCTGCTCTGCCCGAGTCTTGCTACCGCCACTACGAAAAGCAGCTTCTTCTGCAGGATCAACAGCCTTCTTTGGGCTACCAAAGATGGAACAACAAATATTTTTGCTCCCAACAACTTGTTCCTCATCTTGCCTGAGATGGCCCAAAGTCCATCGACAACACATGATCCATCATGCGTTGCAGCCCACCCAAGTGGCCAGTGCTCGTCTATGCTCTTCCAGTGCATCTGAGAAGCTGTGATGTACTGTCCAGGCTGTGTGAGTCTCTAGCTTCAGCCGCTTGTTGCCAACCTGTCAAGTTACGTGGACATAGCATGCGACTTTGTCTTCAGAACATGTGTGTTGACCTTGAGATCCAACTTCTTGTTTTGACACCTAGAAGCCCCATGGGCCAGGGGAAAAAAGAATTGCTTGTCAAGGCGTGGTGAGAAATTCCCCCGTCATTCAAGGCGATCAGCTGGGTGAGGCAACAGCAGCAACCCTGGTCGTTTTTTCAGGAAACCTGGCCAAGACTCGACTGATGACATGTGGCACGAATCTCAGTCGCTCGGGTTTCATCTTGTCTCATTCGCTCAACTCTGCCTGGATCTCGGAGACCTCCGCAAAGCTGCATCGCCGGTTCCGAACCTAAAGGCAACAGCGAGTGGTTCGTCTGGTCTCCAGTTGACTGACATTCGGGTGTGCATCGTACAAAAAAATTCTTTGGTGGGCATTATTTTGGAGATTCGTGTCCCATTAAAAAACACAGCAGATAGGGCCATGTGCAACCGGTGGGTTGCCTTCATTCCAGCTATCCCCAGGCTGGGCAGCCCGGGCTCGGTGGGTACCGCCGTAGGTGCCCTCATCCTTGAAGCGCTCTTGCAGGTGCTCGACCTCTGGCCCTAACACGTTCTCGGGCTCCTGCCTGACGCAAAAGGAAACACGTCACTGAGTCCCGAATGGCAGGCGGCCAAGCCATATCCAACAGGATAGAACGCCACATTTCTCTTCTGACAATGCGACTGGTTTCCACCGGAAAAATACCAGTAAAGCCGGCGAAGCTGGTGGGCGGAAGTTCCATAACCAAAGAAAATTGACGTAGGAAGCGTCCGCGCAAAGAAGAAAGAGTCAAACACAAAAAGTACAAGGAAGGGCTCTAGAGAAGAGAGGAACTGCGCAGCAGGCGCGCTTCGCCCGCCGAACCCTCTATAGACCGCGCGCATCAGAGCCCTCTCGCTGCGGCGCCGTGCGAATTTGCAAAGTGCAAAGCGCACACTGCGGCGACGTGCGCATTTGCAAACTGCGCTCTCGCTGCGGCGGTGCGAATTTGCAAAGTGCAAAAATCAAACCCTCTGCGGGGGCCGTGCGTGTCGGAGAACTCTCGCTGTGGCGGCGTGCGAATTTGTAAAGCGCGAAAGTCGTTTTCCTTCCCTTCCCTCCCCTTCCCATCCCTTCTTTCTGTCTCTTTCTACATCTTTTTCTCTGTCTGCTTCTGAAATCTCTGCCTGCCTATCTATCTACCTACGTTTCCGTCTATCTCTGTGTCTATCATTCTTTGTCTCAACCAAGCAGTCAATCAATCGAACAATGCGTCTACCTGTCTATTCTCACTTTGCATTTGTCCAGGTTTCTATCTAATGTCTGTATCTATGGATCTGTCTAAATATATATTCAATGCAACTGATGCTACTGTCCTATGCCCAGAGCACGACAAGCTGTTGTCTTTTTGACAGCTGTGATTTCGAAATGTGTTGCTGCAGCGCTACATCCAGCGCACCTCGCTTAAAAAGGGCGCACTTGACGCTGGCAATTTCTGAAGCCATCATCATGCCGAAATGAAGGAGTTCAAATGAAACGCAGCACCATAGCCTTTCAAGGCCAGGGCTGGCAACGGGGGAAAACAGGAAAAGCTTGAGAGAAAAATTGCGGGCGTATCCCAACCGCCTTCAATGGGATTAGGGACCTTGGAGGTGGTACAATCCAACTGATGCTACTGTCCTATGCCCAGAGCCCGAAAAAACTATTGTCTTTTTGACAGCTGTGATTTCGAAATGTGTTGCTGCAGCGCTACTCGCTTAAAAAGGGCGCACTTAACCCATTCCGATATGCAATCCAGGCTCTGGTAGAAACCGCTACTTCAGTCGGGTATTGATGACCGATACCAGTCTTTGCTTGGCCTTTTCGACTTGGCTCTTCACAAACTTCCAAGCTCGTTGCAGAAGGCCATGCTTTTCATACCTATTGACAGAGCTCTTGGCTGCCCACCTGCCCCGCTTTTGAGTGGCCCGTAGATCTCGTCGACGGTGACAAGCATCGTTGCTAGCACTACTGTCTCGGACTATGTGAGGGAGGACCACCGGAGACGAGTACTCAAGCAGCCCACATGTGTTATGCAAAATCCGCTCAAACTGAGCTAAGCTGATGTTCGGAAACAGGCGATGCTCTGTGTGCTTGTGCAAGTAGTTCATCACTTGCGTCATCCATTTCCGTTCTGGAAGATTTCCCAGACGGATCGAATCATCCGCCTTGCCAGTTTTCGAGCGAGCTTGCATCTCCGCAGGAAAAAGCACCAATGCCCAACAAGGGTACCAGCGCCCCACAGGTTCCACCACATTGTCCCATGTCAGCTCAATGGCTTCACTAGGTCTACGGCAACCATCAAACTGCAGCAGCAGAAGGCACATGAAGTCCAACCTTGACTGAGACAGCTGTACCGCCACATCGAAGATCAGCTCCTCCGGAACTGGCAGCTGCATACACCCACGCTTCAACATCCGCCAACTGGCCAAAGTTTCCTTGGCATTCGGCAAAAAGAGAGCCTTTGGGATATCACATTGCAGCAGCTGCAGGCCATAGATAAGATAGGACCCAACTCTAGGCTCAGCCCCTTCCCGCTCATGCATGTAGGTCATGTACTTGACAACCATAGCGTCCAGGTTGCCCTTGTTCACTCTCAGCTTCTGCCGCCTCGCCCATGTGAGAAACCCCGCTTGAAGATGTAGGTCAAGACAACCCCCTGCTTGATATAGGATCTGGCATCTTCGGCAGCGATGGGCTTGAAGGAGTCGGTGTTCTTGACCCCCTCCGCATCCATCTTGTCTCCTTCTGTGAGAGGCTTCCCGGAGTTGCCGATCGAACCAGCCATTGTCCTCACCATTTTCTTCAAAGAAGGAGTCCTGGGCCAGCGAGACTATCTTGCTGGTCCACGCCTCCACCAAGGCCTTTGAGTAGGCTCCGGCCGTGGGGGTCTTGTTCTCGTAGACCCACTTGTCGCTTCGCTTCACTTTCCAGGCGCCTCGAAGCTGTTCGTGTCGATGCTGTCCATTGCAACGTCTGGCCAGCGCTAAAAGCTCAGGTCTGTTGGTGAGGATTGCTGTGCCCTTCCTATACGGTGACCCATACATGCAAGCATCAAAAACGACTAGATAACAACGAGGATCTCTGAGGAGCTCGGCAATGGGATGAAACTTCCAGAGCAGGGACCCCCAGGGATTTTCCAGTGTACACGCAATATTCTTCTCCAAACATATGCGTATCAACACTGCAGAAAAAGCTGTACCCCCAGAAGCTCCCAACCTCTAGCCCGAGCCACATTCTTGATCGCATGTCGAGCGCGGCTCCAAACCGTGCACGGTGTGCCCAGGCGCAAAAACCAAATAAGTGACATAGAGACCAGTTGTATAATGAGTTGCTGTGTGGAGACTCGTGAAAGGTCATGATGGGGTCCATGATGCAAACGCTGTCAAAGTGCGAAGCCCTTTGCGTTGAAGTGCCGCTGATAAACCCCCTGCTCCAGCAAAGAGTTCCAAACATTGTTTGTGACCAGGTTGAAGGGAAACAGGCGAAACCAAGGGTGTTGAGGGAGTGGATCCTTGCTCATAGGAGTGCGCAGTGACATGTCTGCCCAAGATTCCACTATCACCAGATGCCCAAGCTTTCTCCCAGGATCGAAGGTGCGGGATGGGCCGTCTGCAACATTGTATTGCGTGCGTACATGCCGGATTCGCCATATAAATCTGCATCCAAAAACGTATCCACATGCTCGTCTACAGAGGTTATTCAACAGCATGGATGATGACCGACCCTTCTCACAGCTAAGCACCGTAACAAGGTTATCACCCAAAGAAAACACCATCTTGCCCATATTGGAAACACTGTGCGCCCACCTTCGCAACCCCATCAACAAGACTCGACCCTCCTTGCCATTGATGTGCTTTTGCAAACTTCCAACGGCCTGACGAAATCAGTGTCCATCGGCTGCTATCATGCCACACATCACGGACTGGAGGGTGAGAGACCGCCTCCATGAGCGTACTTGGTCTTGACTTCGCACTCCAAAACAACTGCTGCTTTTTGGCTCGCATCTTTCTGGGCTCTGAAGATTCCATCCGCTGCCGCAACTCACGTCCATGGCCAGTGATAACACCCAGCGAAGGCTGAGCAGAATGGCCATAGGAATGAAGGTCACTCATCGCCTCCTCATCATCTCCAAGGGTGGCAGCGCGTTCGTCCAACCGACCTTCCAAGAACCGCCACTTCTCTCGAATCGTGACCTCCTTGCCAATCCTTGCAGAACTGGCCTTGGTAGACATCAGGGCAAATCCGTAAGTTGAGGAGTCACCCAAATGCACTGTCTCCGATCTAGGAGCTGTAAGCTCATGCTCCACCAGAAACACCCAGCCCATAATTTGTCGCAGCTCCCGTCGAACGTTAGGCCACATAGGAGCCCGCCGCCCCAGGCGCGTAGCTGAAAACTTGTAAACTGCAGGCAAGAAAGCCCCAGGCGGTTCAACTGGAAAAAGAAGTTGGTGTGCCCAAGCCACACTCGAAGCAAATCGCCCGACACCCGCTTCCTCTTCAAACTGACCGCCATGCTCTCGAAGTCTTATTCCTTATGAAGACCTGGAGCCAAAGTTGAACTGAAGCCCCAATGACTCCACCTCTTGCCTGTCCAGCTGGGTCCGTGATCTCAACGGGGGTGCCAAGTGCTGCAAAGCGCTGCGCAATGCCATTCATCGTGGCATCAACTTGATCAGAGCTGGCCCCAACCACATTGACGTTGTCCACATAGACGCCAACCACTGGGCCAGAACGAACATCCGGGCAAGGAACCTTATCGCGAAGAAAACGGTCGCCTGCCAATCCTGAACCCAGCTGCGATTGGTGAACCACCACCTCGTTAGCCAAGAAAAGGGCCCAGGACCAACCCATGGCCATGCCACCAAAAGCAAACCAAAGCTGCTCGTGGTCTGAAGGTTGGACAAAGCCCCCCAGCTCATCATCATAAATGGGACCAACGTTGAAACCCAGCTTCGTGAGGTCAGACACCGATGCCCTATCATCAGTGCAGAAATATGATGCCAAAGGTGCCACCGAGAAATTGTAAAAGCAATCCCCCACGTCACCTGCAGACATGGCAAAAGCCGGAAGCTCCATGACCTCACCAACCCCATCCACGAAGTCGGCGAAATCCAAGTCCATGAAGCGCGAAGGAGTGCTAAGTTGCGTACACGGTGGTCTCTTTTGCTTGGCATTCGCATCACGAGCATCCACAATCAGTCGCTGCATTCCATCCTTCTTGGCAACTGTGAAGAATGCCACCCTCCCTTTTCGCCGCCGTCTGAAGGTCAAAAGGCCTGAAGAATCCAAAGCCCTGCAAAGCACCAGGATCCCAGTAAGGCTCCACTGGATCAGAACCGTTGACATCCGCCTCCAGCTCGACAGGGGACTTCTCGATGAAGTACTGGTAGTTCTTCAAGTAGATGCTAACCTCAGGTGGCAGAAGGTCTTCCGCAGGCTTGACACCCAAGCGCCGGTGCAAAATCTTGATCTTGCTCAAGTCCGTAGCAACTAAATGAGCAGCCTCCTGTGAATACAGGTTTGCCTTCGCCGTCATCTGCTGAAGGGCCTCGTCAGCATCTAAGTCAGGCGGCCCCCCATGACTTTCAACCCTCCTCCATACATCCTCCATGATCCATTCTTGCACAGAAGTCAGTGGAAGGTGTGAACTAGCTGTCTGAAAAGGAACTGCAGCGAGGTCATTCAACGTCTTGAAGGAATGATCCACCCGCTGTCGCAGCTCTTGCACCGGGCCCCCCCTCCGCTGTGCTGCCCAGGTCAAACGGGGCAAGGGAAAAGGGTCCCCATGCTTCCGATCATCTGATCGGAACCGAATTCCGAAATCACTCCATGCGTCGGCCATGTTGAAGAGGTCGACGAGGAAAGAGATCCCCGGCCGAGTCAGCCCCTCCGTTGGCAGCAAGGCTACTTGTTCTGGCCGGCTTGCCTTTCTTTTTCTTCTTCTTCTTCTTGTTGGCTTTCTTCCGAGAGTCACCCGGTCCATCATCTTCAGAATCGTCATCAATGTCATCCTTGCCTTTGCCACCACGGGTCTTGCGCTCTTGTCGAAAAAGGCGCGCCTGTTTCCAGATGCTTGCGCGCTCTTTCAATCTGGCGGACACCCACTCATTGAACTTGCTGGTGGATGCACGGCCGTCTGGAAGAGTTGCCGTACCGGCAACAATGTCAAGGCCAGAATAGTCCGGCATCGACGGCGAACGCTCCACCGCGAGCTCCGTCTGAATCATCCACGCTGCTAAGGAGCTGCAGTCCACATGCAATAGCCTGAGCACCTCGCACAAGTTGCGACGCACATGGGCCGAGGAGCTTCGACCTGAAACCCCTGACAACCGCAACCACTCGGCGTGGTAGCTGAGGAAGTTGCCAGGGCCAAGGGCCACACTCTCGCGCAACTCCTTCGAAGATCAGGTTCCGGCAATCGGGAACTCCTTGTCCTCGGCATTGCGCATGAGGGCCACCGCCGCGCTAAGTTCCAACCGCCGCTTGCCAGCATTGTCACGGTGGTCCCCCAACAAACGGAGGTCCCCAAGCTCCTTGCCTTTCTTGGCCCTCCAATCATCCAGATCGCGCATGGAGATCTTCTCAACAAAGAGCTCCTCGTTCTCGCGAAGAACCACCCCTTTCAAGGTGAAGCCAACACCTGTCGCTTCCGTAGCCATGAGCTGGGCATCAATCACCTCCCCAAAATTCTCCCTCTCCCAGGATAGCTGCCATGACCTGAGATTGTAGTGAACTGAAGCCCGGGAAGTTGGGTCATGGGCATAGACCTCGTTCTCGATGTCCTGGGGAAGGGGCATGCATCTGTCTAGAATTCGGTGAGCCTGAGTAGCCAGGTTATGGTTGGGGTCATGCGGATATGACACTAGCACTTGCACTTCCGGAATGTCCAGAGTCAGAGCCGCCGCTTCAGGCCTGAGGGTCGCTTTGGCCCAGTTTGCGATGCAGGGTCGTCGTCGCCACACTTGTTGGCGACTGGCTTGAATCCCTGCAGGCTAACTTTGAACCGCCCCAAAGCCCATGTCTATACCCCCGCCACATTTTTTCTGGCGCACTACTCTTCTCTTGTCACCTGTCAGAGAGCTAGCTTTCGACTAGTTGTGGTACCCTGGAAGTTACTTCTAGACGACGACAACGCGATGTCCGCAGCCCTCAAGGCATAGCATGCCCTGAACAGTTGCAGCTGGAAAGCCTTCATTTGACTGTCCGCAAACAGACTTTTAAGAACGTCATCGCTTCAAGCAACCCAATGCCGACAAGGCAAGGATGCTGCGCTAGAAAGTTGAAAGCGCTTGGAGTCAGCCTTTTGCCTTGACTCCTAAATCCCAAGCAACCCATGAAGCGCGTGGCAGCAAACATCTTCCAATATGGGTGTGTGTGTGTGTCAGACAAGGCGTAGAAGAAAAATGACATCTGGCAGTCGTACAAGGATGCTTAGGGAACTCCGGTCATGGCAGTAAATCTGAACGTTTCATGCGGGAGCTGCTGCTCACACTTCCCGAGAAACCATGAGAGGCAACGTGAACAAATGTATCCCTCGCCCCCTCAAAGGTAGCGTGCGGGGAGGGGGAGTCTGCAAGCGTGACGCGACCCCTTCCTACAGCGCATCAAGCAAGCCCGGCGTTGCCGAACGAGTAAGTCGCGTGGGTCGGGTGGCTGAAGAAAACAAGCCACTGCCTTCACACGGCTTCCTTGAACGCACTTAACCACAGACAACAGCTTTCGGACCTGCAGGCAAAGTGGAATCCTTTTGCAGATTCCAAATCAAGCATAGGCCCTACAGCGCCCGCGTCCCAGCCTTCCCGCTGCCTTTGGCCAACGACGCCGCAAGCGAGCATGCAAACCACTGCGCACCTGCAGGGAGGCCGTGCCAGTGTGGTCGGAAGTGAGGGGCGTCGATCATGAGGTGACCAAAAGTCCAGGGGATGAAGCTTGGCTGGGCCTACTTGAATCGATGAGAAACATGTGCAATAAACCGCCACTATCCAGCTGGAACGGACTTGCCAGGCAGGACATTTTCTCAGTACGTCCTAAGCATTCAAAGTGTTGAAAGATCTGAACCGCCTCGTTCCGGGAAATAGCTGGCTCCTTCCAAGGGCCTTGCCTCAGGACTCTGATGGCCGTTGTGAAAGTAAACAACTACGTTTCTCTGGTGTTGTTTTTTTCAAAGGGCCAGCCGGGAAGGGTCCTCCAATTTCGCACACACAGGCAGCCAAGGAGCTTTGCAAGACTTCTTCAACTCGTGCAGCTCATCTGAACCCGCCTGGCAGCATTCAAAGATAGGAAGCTTGGATATATGACCAGGGCTTCTGAGAGAAAAACCACCGAGCAAAACGCACCTAGCACCTCGAGGCACTAGACTCAAGCCCTCTTTCTCCTCAAGCCTTCCTCTCAGTAGGCCTGCGGCGCAGGCGCAGGGCTCCGGCCTCCGGCGTGGCCGCCCCTGACTTCCGCAGAAAGCCACGGCTTTCCGTGGCCCTCTGGCGCGCTGGCATTTGCGCTGCAGTGCTCCAACTCGCCCTCTGTGCTTTCGGCTTTGCAGCCTGCACCCACCCGTGTGCCCAGTAAAAAGGGTTGGCGTTGACTGGCAGTTTGGGCGCTGCCTGTGACACAGAACATGTCAGCACGCAGCGCCCGCTGACCAGTATGCAGGAAAGCCCTCTCGCTGCACATTTGCCAAATGCAACGCACGCGCGCGTTCTGCGCTGGCGATCACAACTAAGCTGCTCCTCCCCTTGCGCCATGACGTCGCTGTGCCCGCCCGCATTTGCATTGCGCGCTCTGCGCAAGCTGTGGAGCTGCAGGTTGGCACATAGCCACAACATTCGATCCCTTTGGCTCCTCAACAGCAAGCTTGGCACGGAAGCAAAGCACCATGGACGGGCTCAGAATCTCGGCAACTTGAGGGCTTCGTGGCCAAACGATCCTGATTCAGGCGCGCAGTCACCAGCCACAGCCGTACAAGGGCGCCTGCGGTATCAGTGAAAAGAAACAACTTAGTAGCATGTTTTTGGGTCTCTGGTTTGGCGCGTGCTACGCATACTTGAATGATCTCAAACGGACCTTCTGACGGGGCACATATTAAAACGAAAAGTTCAAGCGCTTTCTTTCTGCAAAATGAACGTTGGGCCGATCTGCCAATCATTTGCAACTTGAGGCCCTCGTTTCGCACAGAAAATCCACGGGCCAGAATATACCACGGCGTGACATCACCTGCCAATTCTGGGTTCCTGGTTTGTCCATTTCGTGCTAGTTGGAAACAGTTCCATGTGAAGCGCCCGAAAGAGAAACTGGCTTGTGCACTATTTCCTCACAAATTTGATCACCCACGTCGCCCACCAACATCAATAATTCGGAATGGCGGGGCGCACAATTATACCGTCCCAGCGAGCTCGTTTCCCGCCTTTGGCGTAGAAATCCCGAGGAGGCTTGTGAGCGTCAAGCCGTGTAGGATCACTTCCTTTGGCTGAAATGCCGAAATGAAATGCCGAAACATACCCCCTGAATCCAAAAACAAACACAAATGAACATTCTGCGTTTTGACCTTCTGCTTTCCACACACAGTGAATATTGGCTCTTTGCTTTAAATCTCCTTGTCAAAATCCAGAATTCAATCCTCGCCACGCCGTGTAGGGCAAGCGCCCGTTCAAACGGGAACTTTTTTTTGGGAAGATCGGCCATGTCAAAACCGCAAACGAAACGTTAACCAGGCGAGACACGCAGAGTAGAAGGGCGGGGATTTAAAGACTGATGGAACACAGGCGGATCCAAGGATGGTGCTAGATCGCCGACGGGTTTGTCATCCTCGCCCACCACTGCCTTCTTTTTGGACGAGAACACTTGCCGTGACTTGCGTGTGTCACGTTCGCAACGCTTCTGGCATCAGCCATGCGCCCTTCCCCGCCTGTGACTCTGTGAGGCACGCAGCAATCGCATAGGCAGCTTCTGGACAGGTGCCAAATCCTCAGAGCGCCCATCACCGCAATTTGCGAGCCTTTTGCTCGCTCGACATGAGTGTGACACCCTATAATCAGGGACGCCAGCCTAAGCTGAAATCGGGAGTGTGAAACCAGAAGAGCGAGAAACCTAGAAAAAAGTAATGCGCGGGACCGTGAGAGAACCTTGAGAAACGGCGGGCGTTACCCAGGCCTAGGGGTGGCCTATTCAAGAACTTTGGGCGACAATTTGCGCGCAAACTCGCGCGCAGCCTGTTCTCCGAAGAGCTGTCCAAAGGAAAAAACAGGAATGCCAGGTCTGATTTTGACACACACACACACAACAAGCTCGCCTTTTGCCACCAACAGCCATAGTTTGCTCTGCGCTTGGGGGCGAGGCATGCGTTCCAGCTATGTCTGGGCAATCGCGAAGATTGAGCACGCAGATACTTGTGGCTGGCTGCCTTGTTGCTCTTGTTCAACAAGTGCGCAACAGATTTCCCGCAAGCATCTGCCGGTCATTGTTGCGGCTGTGACTCCTATTGCGCCCAGCCGGTGGGATTCGTAGAGACATCTCAGAGGTCGCAATCAAAGTACACAACCGAGGCAAAAGTGCAACGCAAACGAAGGGGGACAACCTAGCACTGAATCCGAGCGCCACGTCCTCACTCGTGTAATCTTCCGGTTGGCATCCCACACTCTTCCCACAATCTTCCGGTGATTCTCATCTGTTGTACTTCAAAAGACCCAATATTCACAAAACCACTTTTCCTGAACACTAAATCTTGTTTAGGCATTGTCTGTCCTTCCTTCAAGACCTCCTCGCGCCGGACAGAAGCCGCCAAACGCACAATAAGGATCCTTCATGTTCGAGCGCCGCCACCGGTTTTTGGGCTCAACCTGTTCCACTCCAATACCAGTCAGGTCCAGCAGGGCCGGGGGGCGGAAGAATCAAGAATAGAAGAACTATACTTATCGTTCTCGCTCTCTCGTTCTCTCTTGCTCTTTCTCCTTCTCTTGCTCCCATTTCTCTGCTTGGTTCTCTTTCTCCTCTCGTTCTCCTTCTCTTCTTCGTTCTCTTCTTTCTGCGTCTCTTTGTCTTTCGCTCAACCTTGTTCTTTCTCTTCATGTGTTGTTCTTTGTCTCTGTCTCCCTCTCTTCTCTTTCTCTTTCTCTTTCTCTTTCTTCGAATTAAATCTGAAGGAGACGCATCTCTTCGCGCGTCCGAAGCAAAGCTGAAGCTAGGGGGACTGTTCACAAGACTCGCAGCAGGATAAACTTTTAAAATGTATCTAAATGCATATATATGTGAACACACACACACACTCCTATATTCAAATACTGTACGCATGCTTGCTAAAATTATATCCACCCTCCAAGTATCCAGTGTCTCACGTTTTTTTGAACAGCGTGACTCCAGGGCTCCATGCGCCCGGCAGATCAGCTACGCAGATAGCAGCGTTCAGCCGCAGCCGCTTGACAGTCTCCACGGCGTCCTCGTCTGTCAGGATATCGTCCCGGTTGCGGTTTCGAAAGGACAGCACAGCCTCTGGGCGCGCTTGCTCTGCAGGCTCCTGAACAAAGGTGGCACGAGACTAGCCACATGGCCCTGGAGCATAACTTCAAGTTTGGACTGCAGGAGCAAAATGTCTGACAAAGTGGCAATGAAGCAACCACGATTTTGGCCCACGCACATGTTCTTTCTGTCCGCTCGCCAGAATTGCTGCGGCAAGAAGCTGAACAACATAGCTCTGAAGCAACCACGATTTCGGCTCATCTATGTGCCAAGTTAAAAACACCAACCACAAATGTCTTTGATTTGGAATAGCCGCAGCGAGAAGCTTGGCAACATGGCTCTGAAGCGACCAGGATCTCGACCGTGGTTTCTGGGTCAAAAAGCAACCTTGGCCCGCCTATGCCCACGAGTTAAGAACAGACATGAATTTGGAGATACTCTTGCTGGAAACGAGCCCAAAAAACTCCAGTCAAGGAGGAATCTGTCCTCGTCAGCAGCAACAGGCTCAGAACCAGCTGCCTTACGGGCTCTTGGTGATCGCTGATTGTGTGGAAGTAGCGCTGCAGAGCCTTTTGTCTTGGTCGCCACCGATCGTCCTTTCCCTTCGCAAAGATGGGTCATCGGTAGCGCAGTCTTGCTTGCAAGCCACCCAAGCACCGCGCCCGCGCATCTACGCCCGCGTAGCGGCCCATCCGTGCATGGAACTCAGCCAGCCACTAACTTCCACCAATCAAACTCGGCTCAGTAGCACAGTCTCAACAGCTTTCCCCGGACCAAGCTGATCGCTCCATAGATGAACTGGAGGAGTGGGCGCAATTGGCCAGAGTGACTGACCGGCCGAGCAAGATGCTCCCTTCGCATGAGTGGGGCATTGAAGTCACTGCGCGTGCGTGGTTGGATCAGACCATTTTGGACCAAAGGCGCTCGCTTCTCCACCCGGCTTCTCGCGCCGACACCGTTTCACAAGGCAATGCTAGCAGCGGCAAAGACAAAAAGGTGGAAACTGGAGATGTTGCTGGCGGGAATCAGCAGCAACACAGGGTGGCAGAGTTTCGTTGCGTTCCCAGCACTTACAGCCATGTGACGGACAAGTGAGGGTACCCTCTAGAAACAGTTGCCTTTCGGGCAGGGCGCTCGCTCCGGCTCCGCAAAGTAGTTCGGCCGGTGTGACAAGTGCGAGCACGCTGGCAAGTAGCCGACGGCTTTGCTTCCTCGGATGGCCCCAAAATGGGCTTGTCTTGTTGTCCCCTTGGCTGCCCCAATTGAAAAACAAGGTGCGATCCAAGTAACCAAGATAAACTTTGACGGCTCCGTGGTGCGGCCATGGGCCCAACCGCCTGCTTGGCCTACACATGTTTGGCTGTTGGCGCGAGCTGCTAGCCAACTGGTAGTGGCCATACGCTTGCTTGGGGCAACAACGGGTGCTTCTGCGCTTCGGCTTGATTGAAGCTTCCGCCGCGTAGTGAGCTTGTCGCGCGCCTCGCGCGCGCGGCGACCCGCTCATGCGAATGAACATCCCCCCGAAAAAAGCAACTGTAACAGCATTTCCTGCGGTGGGTCAGCCACTCCGTGCTCAGCCGTCAATGTGCTCTTGCGAAAGGATTCCCACACCCCGAAACATGTCGGCGGACATACGCTGGGCAATAGGCTTTGCCTACAAACCAACATATTGGCTGAGCTGAGCCTGACTTGTGGAAGTTAGCCTGTCTGCCATGTGTGCAAGTCCCGGCTAGTCAGAACACGGGATCCTGGTCGCTCCATGTTGCCAAGCTTCTTGCTCCAGCTGATCCCAACAATGCCCTTTTGGACTGGCTTCTCCGTGAAAAGAAGGTCGAAACAAATATTCATTAATTTGGGACTGAGATGCGGCGAAATCGCGATTGCTTCAAAGCCATGTTGCCCAGCTTCTTTCTGTAGCAATGCCGAACAAGGACCACCTTTTGAAAACACGTAGGTGGGCCGAAACCGTGGTCGCTTCATGGCCACGTTGTCAAGCGCTTTGCTCCAGCTGTCCAAACTAGAAGTTATGCTTCAGGGCCTTGGGGTCACACCTTTTGCCCCAGCTTTCCAAAACACAAAACACAAGCTAGAAAGTAGCTTCCAAGCAGAGACAGTCAAGTGGCTGCGGCTGACTGCTGCTTATTTCCGTGGCGTGCGCTGCAGCCCTGGAACCACGCTGCTCTTCAGATGTGAGAGACTGGACGCATGGAGGGTGTGGAGTTATATATGAGGGTATTGCGATATTCCTGGCTCCAAAAATGGCCTTCCACCTTGCCCTTCCGCGAATTTTCCGCGAACTTCCTGGTGCCTGTCTGAACATACATAGCAAGCTAAGAGGAAGAGCCAGTGCAGAAAGCAAGACGTAGACTAGGAATGGAGCGAGGATAGGACGAGCAAGAGGAAGGAGAAGGACAAGCAATCGTAGGAAGCAGAACACCGGAAAAAGCAAAGGAGGCAGGAAGGCGGCAACAAGCGACAAGCACGGCGACAGCCATAGTTCCGCGGGCTTCGTTGTGGCATCGTTTTGGGTATCGCTTGGAGCGCTAGCACGCTGCTACAACTGCGGCATCCCCGGGCAAGAGAATGAGTAGCAGCACCAGAAACACAGACGCAACCAACATTTCACGCTACAACAGAAGACGGGTGGGCCAGCCCCCGCGCAAAGCGAAAGCTGCAATTGGATAGGTTTCGCTTGGGTATCATGTTGGGTATTGTTTGGAGCTCTGGCGCGCCGCTACAGCTGTGGCGCCTGCGCGCAGCCGAGAAGCATGAGCCATAGGCATTTCATGCTGAGAGGGCCGACGGGTGGTGGCCATCCCCTTCTTTCGCGCATTTCGACAAAGTCTGCCGCGAAAAACAAAAGGACTGCCAGAACGCTTTTCGAGGTCCGAAGCGCGGAACAAAACGAATCTCGGACCGTGAAATTCGTTTGCTCGCGCGTTTCGACAAAGTCTGCCGCGGGATGCTGACTATGATGCCAGAACGCGCTTCAAGGCCCGAAGCACGCTTTTCTACAAACTCTGCCGCGGGAACCAAGAGGACTGCCGAATATGATGCCAGAACGCTCCCGTAGAGCCCAATACTCCTTAAAAAAGAGAACGCTGAAAAGAAGCAGTATGTTTCTTTACGCGCGCTTCTTTGCATTCAAAAGCTTCCCTCAAGGCTTGGACGACAGGAGAAAGGCCTCAGCTGCAGCAACGTGTTTCCAGAAAAGAACCCGGCAAGAAAATGGGCAACGGCATGGGGAAAGTCAATAATTTCATCAAAAAGAGACTAAAACCACCTACTGCTGGAAAGTTCCTGCAGAGGACTCTCAAGAGAGAATCTTGGCATAACGCATATCCGCCGACCCTTTCTCTAAAAAGGGGAGGCGCATGGGAAGGGTGGTTGGCGCATAAGTAAAACAAAATTTCATCCTCATCTGCAGCAGCAGCTGCAGCTACGATAAATGTTATAGTCACGGTCATCGTGATCATCATCATCCTTATCATCATCTCTTTCTTAGTCTCTTA